TGAGGAGCACAGAGAGGATCAGCCTGGTGTGAGAGGAGCAGGAATTGTTTTGTCTCCCTGCTCTGTGCACAGAGCTCACCATCCCTTAATGTGAAGCTCAGCCCCACACACTAAAGCAGCACAGAATGTGAAAAATAGAAAAGCTAAACCCAGGGCATCAAGAACAGTGTGTCAGGTGGCAGGAGGGGCTCACAGCCAGTGTCACACCAGGGGTCACCTCCCAGCAGCAGCATGATGGTGTATTTACACAGGAACAAGACACCAAAGGGTGCAGGCACCGAGAGGTTTCTTCCGTCAGCTTTTTGGAGCTGGCTCTGTTGTGTTAAAAAAAAAAAATGGGGCTGCTATTTATTTTTAAAATTGAGGACTTTCTGTGTCTTGATTGTGTTACCTGGAAATTCCTCATAGGAAGGTCTGCAATTGCACATAAAAACAATAAATGCATTTTTGTGCTTTTAAGTGGAAAAGCTTTCATCATCACAAAGGAGGAGAAAGCAGGAGGAAAGTTCAGAAGATGTGCAGGTGGACAGCACGAAACCTTCTTTGACTTGAAGGGCAAAGACAGATGCTCAATAAATACTCCACTGTTTTTCTTTTTTTGGGAAAGGGGTTTGGGGTCTTTTTTTTAATGTGTGTGAGATTGGGAATTCAAAGGATTATATTCAGCATGGTTTAGTCTCAGTAGAACACATATTCCAAGACCTGCACACATTGCCAAGTGTTCCAGTCCATTTCACAGGACTTGAATATATCACTTCTGTTGTTGTTTCTGTTGCAGGAAAAATCCCCTGGATGCAGGACAATGTTTGATTTTGCATCAAAGCAGATACTGGCAGTATGTGGATTAACTAATTACCTCCGTTGACACAAGGAGAAGTTTATTTTGGTGGGGGATGAAAATGACTGGAAAATACCAGTCAGACATTTCATCTCTGCTTTCCCCAAGTGCCAGGCACACGTGCTAACAATATCCCCCAGCCATTCATCACACCTTGTGTTTGCTCCATGGAAAGAGGTTGTTCCCTCGTGCCAAGCTGGGAATATGAATTCTAGATGTTTGTGATCCAGAAGAGTATGGTTGGGTTTGGGTTTGGGTTTTTTCCCCCTCTTTTCTTGGAGACTGGGAAAACAGGGTGTTGTGTTCATGCCAGATTATTTTTGGAGGTAATTAATGTACCAATGGGTTCAAAGTGGAAGAATGGAAATTTCAGCTAGGTAGAAGAAGGAATTGTTCCCTGGCAGGGTGGGCAGGGCTGGGATGGAATTGCCAGAGCAGCTGGGGCTGCCCCTGGATCCCTGGCAGTGCCCAAGGCCAGGTTGGACACTGGGGCTGGAGCAGCCTGGCACAGTGGAAGGTGTCCCTGCCATGGCAGGGGTGGCTCTGGGTGGGCTTTAATGTCCCTTCCAACCCAAACCATTCTGTGATTCCCTGATTCTGGGAAAGGGAATAATATCCAGCAGGCCATGCTGATTAAAAGCTTTAAAGTGTCAAAGAGCCAGTGGGATTTCTCAGCTCCCTGATTGCAGGAGGGTGTCTCCAGTCAGCACAACCTCACCCAATCGATGGCAGAGTGGCCCCACAAGGCCACTTGGGGTAACCTGTGTTTGCACTTTAACATCTGCTCTGCTTTATCAGGGCATTTTACAGCCACTGCTGGTAACTCAGTTATATTGCAGCCCTGAGGTGCCTCTGAACTCCAAGGCTGTTGCCATGCACAAAACCCCCGAGGCAGGTGGAAGAGAGAGCACGGGGAGGAGTCTGGAGTAATTCTGGTTATGGAATCATTCTGAAGAACACCTCAGGGGTGCAAGAAACAAATCCCAGTGACAGCCTTAGGCAGTCCACAGGGCTGTCCCCTCATTCTCCAGGTGACACAGAGAGCATTCCCAAGGGCATTTCAAGGGATTTATTTCCACATCAGCAGTGAAGGGCACTCAGGAGTCACAGGCTGCTCCTGCCCATGAAGACCTGGCCCTCAGCAATGCCTGGGGGCTCTCTCCTCATGCTCAGGCCCAGCAGAAACAAGGCAACCCTGTTTTGCAAGGCTGCAGGGGAGAGAGCTGAGCTGTGCAAGCAGAGGTTTCACCCTCAGCACTGCAAAATGAGAACTGATTTTTATTTTTTTTTTCCTGCTGCTGCTGTAGGTGTGACTTCCAGCAAAACTTAAATCTTGCTGTGGTCTGGTTTATTCTGCCTGTGCACCTCCTGGCATTGCTCAGTTGGGTACCACCTTCAATGTTTCCTCTGTGCCAAAGCACCTGCACCCTCAGCAGGGGCATATTTCAGGGGGTTTTATTTTCTCAAAGAGGCTGGGGGAGCATTTTGGCACACTTTTACTCGAGAGATGCTGTAAATTCAAGGAACAAGCAGCGCATATTCGTAAAGCTCTGACGACTGCAGTGAAGGTCTGAGATATCCATGCTTTCCTCCTCTCCTATGGCCATGGAAAGGACCTGCTGGCTTTGCTGGAAGCAGGCAGGTCCCTCCCCAAGGGCATTATGCAGTCAGTTGGTGGCCAAAATTCCTGTTTCAGCTGTGTGTTTACACAAATTCAGGAGAAAATGTGTTTTCCAGCATGGGCATCCTGGCCCCAAGTCATTCTCCTTGTGTTCCCTACCACTTTTTATCCCACATTTGGGCAGGGTCCCAGCTGTTGTCTCTCTTTCTGGGTTTGCATTTTTAAGCTGGGGATTATGAACATTGTGGGTGTTATGAACAGGAAACAGGAGAGAATCTCTTGTACCACACATGGCAGAGGGAAAGCGGCGACATCGGCCCAGGGAGCGACCATTTCTCCTCAAATCAGCCCAATTCCTGCTGGAAACCCCTGGGGAGATCCCCCCACCAGCCATGGTGAGGCCTGGGAAGATGCAGTAATTCCTCATACCACCAGCAAGCCCATTGTCTGGGCAGCACTTACAAGGCTGGGGTGAATAATTGCTGAATTGTGGCGAGCTGAACGAGGAGAGCACCCACAAGAGCACCGAACGTGGCATCTATGGTTCTGTGGGTGACCACAGTCATTCCTCCATCCTCCCTGGAAACAAATTGTCCAGCAAAGCCACACAGCTACACATGGGTTTGTACTGAGAGTGGCACTGAAATATCACCAAATAATTCCTGGGGGGTGTTCCTTTCCTCTACCACAGCTCTGGGTTTTGGGGAGAGCCTGGTGTGTTAAATTCCAGCTGGAACAAGCTCGCTGGAGAAGGTGGCACACAGCTCTCCCTCGGGGTAGGTGGTGGCTGATGTTTATCTACACCCCTACTCCCAATTTATGGAGTTTTGGAAGCATCTTTCTGGTCACTGGCACCGGGTGAACACCTGAAAATGCCATGTCCACCTGGAGCCTGTCCAACCACCCTGTGTGGTTTTCCTGCACGGCGTGTTTAGGTCACAAACTCTGGAAATATTTTATCTCCAGGGGGAGGATTCTATTGCTGGGAAGAATGATAGAATCCTCTATCACCTGAGCACAGGCACCTTCCAGGAGCTGTGCAGGGTGAGGAGGGCACCCCTGAGTCTCCTTTTCTCCAGGGGAGCACCCCCAGCTCCCTCAGGGCTCCTCTCAGGGTTTGTGTTCCCAGCCCCTCTCCAGCCTCGCTGTCCCCTCTGGATGTGCTCAGTGTCCCAAGGTCCTTCCCAAGCTGAGGGGCCAGAGCTGGGCACAGCACTCCAGTTGTGACCCCAGTGCAGGGACAGAGTGACCCCCCTGCTCCTGCTGGCCACACCATTCCTGGTCCAGGCTAGGGTTTATGGTCAGAATCAATGATCTTAAAGGACTTTTCCCACCCAAACAATCCCGTGATCCCCAGCTTGTGTAAATCAGTGAATTTTCCTGCTGCCATCAGAGCCACACTGGTTCACATTGCCAGCTCAGGGCACACAAAATCATTTCAAATTAAAGCACAGGCGAGTGGGAGGGTGGGCAGAAGCAGGTCACAGTTTTTAAGGACTGGTCAGGGTGCTCTAAATTTAGGCTGACTGCCTCCCCAAGCCCTGCCACCACCATCCCAGCCGTGGGAAAGGGCTGCAAACAAATCCCACGGAATGAAGAGGTAGGTGAGTGCAGGGGAGATGCAGGAAGGTGTTCGGAAAATGGCTCAGCTATCTGTGGCCTCTCCTGTGAGAAAGCTGAATGAGCCTGCTGGCTCCAAAAGAGATAATCTGACCCCTTCTGTTTCCTGAGCAGTGTTTCCATACCCACAGCCTGGAGAATTATTTGGGATATCACACTGTATATGCTGCCTGCGGACTTGGTGTGAGGTGGAAATCAGGACAGTCCACTGCCTGACTGATTGACAGGAGATGTGCTCTGATAAGACAATGATGGTCCCCGAGCCCCTTCGGAAACCTCAGCCATTACCCACCTCCAAAACTGTGAGTTTTTGAAGCCATTATCCACCTTCTGAACCTTCAGCTATTACCCACCGTAAAAATATGAATTTTCGAAGCCATTATGCACCTTAAAAATATGAATTTTCGAAGCCATTACCACCTTCTGAACCCTCAGCCATTACCCACCCTAAAATATAAATTTTTGAAGCTATTACCACCTTCTGAACCCTCAGCCATTACCCACCTTCACAAACACCCTCCATGTCCTCCCTCAGCTAAAAACTGAGCACTCCCAGTTACCTTGAAGGGTCACAGAGAAGGTAATTCAAGGGAAATTGCTGTGCCACAAAGCAAAACCAGAATTTCTCAACTGAGAAGCCACCATTTCTCTGAGGACAGGCTGACACTTCATTGAGCCCTGCTGTGTGCAAACGTGGCAGTTTCACCTTGTGTAAATCTCTATTTGTACCTTCTTGGCAGCTGAGCACCTCCTAAGGCTTGGCATATGGTATCATCTGAAGCACAAAATAAAAATATTGCATCCATCTGTACTTCTACTTGTTTTGGAGAGCCAATTTCTACAGTCAGAAAAGCAGGTTGGTTTAAGACTACATTTAATAAATATCAAAAACTCATTGCAATGTCACTAAAATATTTCCAGTTTTGTGTATCTGAAGTATTTGATCAGAAGAAACACTTCCAGAGAGAATCACATTTACTCTTGGGCTGTAATCCAAGTTGTTGGTAGGATGAATGGGCCCTAACATGGAATTAAATGCAATTAATGCCTATGGCAAGGCTCCTTTGAATTCCTGTGAAATAAAGGAGAACTCATTCCTCATGTATTAAGCCTATTCACAACCACTAAGTGCATTAGTTACTAATACTCTTACTCCTGCAGCATTTGTCAGCCCTTTTAATGGACCAGAGTCCAGGCCAATTAGAAAATAAGACTGGAACAACTGGAGATAAAGTGCCTTTGAAAGTCCCAGCTTCTCTCTGCTGTTGCCTTAATGTCAAAAAGTGCTTTACTGGGGCAGGCACGCAGCCAAATCGTGCCTGGGGAAATTCCCTGCCTCCAAGTTATCTATTTAATTCCAGGGGCATTATTCCCTAATGGCCCTTCCTGGTACTTTCTCTTTGCTTCTCGATTTAGCTGTGCTGCAAAGCCCTGCCTTTTTTTGTTTGGATTTCATGTCCTAGTGGATTTTTTTTCCCCCTAAATCACTGGGCAGCCCCCCAGACTTTGAAAACTCTGGGTTATTTCTGGATGTGTCCCTAATTTCTAGGGAAGGCTTATCTTGCCAGCTCCAGCCCCTTTTCCCTACCTGACCCTCTCGAGAACAAGACGTATTGGCTGCTCATAATTCACGCAAAATGTCCGAGGTTTCAGGGCAAAGAGAAACAAGCTGGGTTATTTTTATCTCCTCTCCCGGAATAAATCCCCCCACAGTTCATTTCCAGGCATCCATCACCTCACACCAGAGGCAGGGCTTTGGGAATGAAGGGAGATCTAAGCAGAGAGGCCTCCGGAGCATTAACCTGCTCCGAGTGGGATAGAAGCAAAGCAGGACCACATTCCACCTCCAGAAGTCAAAACCTTGGTACCTTTAAAGCAAAAAAAAAAAATTTACCAACACGTGCATGCACCATTCACTTAATTAAAAACCATCACAACCAGCTTTGTTCTCTGCACTGGGTCTGTGTGGAAGTGTTGGATACCAAGGACAGATAGGAAACACAGCACACACCGAGGAGAGCTGTGGGAATAATCTGAAAACAAATATTGAAACCACAATAAATCCTGCCCCTCTCTGCCCCAGGATGGCCACAAGCTGAACTGCAAATTTTGCTGCAGCTTATCTTGTTTTTTATCATTTATCCCTGCATCAAATGATTCTTGGTCTGCGAATTATGTAAATTCATGTAAATAACTGCAACCCCGTCTGTGTGCACCAGCCCTTGGCAGGAAGGGATGTGTTATTGTTCCAGCCCCTGAGATGGAAGTGTAAACTCTTAAATGCTTCAAGAAAGTGTTGCTATAAAATAAAAAAAGTTTCTTTCCTTGCTGCAGAGCCAGTTTTCAATATTTGGCATCGTTGTAGGGGACATTCCTGTTTATCTGGCTCATCTTTGTGTGGGCCATTAGCATGAGTCAGGGACTGAAAAATTATCAAATATTAGGCCCAAGAGACTGAGGAAAGGGGCAAGACTTGAAGCAGGCTGGTCTCATGGTTGGTAAAACTTGGTGAACCATCAGAGAAGTGGAAAGGAGTCAAAAAATATACAGCTTTTCATAGAAATTGGTCATGTGCTTTTTGGTTATCAGCTTGCTTTCTGCCCAGAGCAGCTGTGGCTGCCCCATTCCTGGAAGTGTCCAAGGCCAGGCTGGGGCTTGGAGCAGCCTGGGATAGTGGAAAGTGTCCCTGTCCTTGGCATGGGGTGGGACTGGATGAGCTGCAAGATCTTTTTGAATTTAGTCCTAATTGTAGAATCATTTAGGTTGGAAAAGGCCTTCAAATGATGGAGTGCCAGCTGTGCCCCATGGCCACCTTGTCCCCAGCCCAGAGCACTCAGTGCCACCTCCAGGGGACACCTGCAGGGATGGGCACTGCCAAGCTCCCTGGGCAGCCCCTGCCAAGGCCTGAGCACCCTTTCCATGGGCAAATTCCTGCTGCTGGCCCAGCTGAGCCTGCCCTGGCCCAGCCTGAGGCCGTTCCCTCTGCTCCTGTCCCTGTTCCTGGGAGCAGAACCCAACCCCCACCTTGCTACAACCCCCTGTCAGGTAGAAACTTTCATTTTTTCCCCCTTGCAGTCATGGAAATGCTGATTTTCAAGATGGCACCGAGTTCTCCCAGGGTCCCTGTGCTGAGCTGGATTCAGCATTTGCCTGAGAACAGAGCTGGCAGCAGGTTTGCTCCCAGCCACAGCTCCCCATCATCCTGGCAGCCCCTTACGAAATCCTCGCTGTCCTCGGCCTCCCAGCTGCTCTTATTTATTTCATTAGTAAACAGCATGTTTTCAGTGCTTTCAGAAAGTAAATTTCCAGTTTCTGGGAAATAGGAATGAAATTAAATTAAATCAAAACTTTCACAATGTTTCCCATGGAACAGAGGCCGTGCTGGCTTGGCATTTTCACCAGTAGTTCAGGAAAAAAAAATCAAAAAAACCCCAACAAAACAGGCCTTCTGTGCTGAGCTTGGGTGTGATTACACTTGAAAATTTTGTTTTAGGTTTGAATTTCTCTCTGAATCACTCCACCTTCTTAAATATCATACATGGATTTTTTAAGAATGAAAAGTCAAGCTTCATAGGCCTTTTAGACATTTAATGTGTATTTTTAAAGCAGCACATAAATATCTTGAACTTGTGTGAATTCATCCTTCCACCTGTCCAAGTGTCTGCAAGGGACTCTGGAGTTCAGCACAGAGAATTATGGCATTTATTCCCTGGGGAAAACCTCTGTTACTCAAATACAGAATTTGCAAAACTCTGTGGAAATATAAGATAAAGAGAGAGAAAGAAAGAAAGAAAGAAAGAAAGAAAGAAAGAAAGAAAGAAAGAAAGAAAGAAAGAAAGAAAGAAAGAAAGAAAGATTACCCAGCCTTGCAAGGATGGATCACTCTGGGGGTAGGGAAGCTCATCCTCTGTGCTCGCCATCTCTACCCAGAGGGGGCTCAAGGTCTTCCAGCCAGCCTTGCAATCAGAAAAATTTGTGAGACATCCCTTGTTAATTTTTCCTTCCACATTCATGTATTTAAGCATAATTTTATAGTGTTTGGACACTCAGCAGTACCTAGCCCATTACATGTGCAGCTGCATTCATACCAGAGAACCCATCAAGAGAGGAAATGCAACTCCCTAACACCTGCCCAACCTATTAACTTCTCTCATATCCCTTTTTATCCCTCTTATTTTTAAACTTGTTTTGATTTGTTTTGGTTTTGTGGTTTTTGTTTTGTTTATTTTGGGTTTTTTAGCTTTTATTTTAGTGAAAAAGTCATGACATCTGGCAGAAAAAAAAGGTGGGTGAAGAAAATGCTAGCCTGGTGTATTGCCTCTATCTCTAATAGTCGGGAATATGCTTCCAGAATCATAAAAGGAAGAAGGAAAATCAAATAAGAAATCAGCCAGCCAAGTGCAGGAAGGAAGAGAGGAAGGGAGCAGCAATATCAGTGTGTGAAGGGTGAGTGAAGCCAAGGAAACTTCATCCACAGCCATGGAAGAGCAGTTCCCAATCCAGCAGCAAACCTGGAAGCAAATATCCCAAAGAAAGAAGAGCAAGGAAGAGGAAACATCCCCCAGCATGGGGGAACCATTGGGTGAGGAGTCAAGGAAAGATTTTTAAATGCTGGCTGTATTTCATATCAAACCATAAAAAACCCCTGAGGCAATGAGAAGGGCTGGCTGAGACCTCTCCCATAAATCAATTGTCTTGGGGAAGGGGGAAGGAAAAAAGCCCCCCTCCACAAAGAAATACAAAAACAACAAGAGATCAAGATTTTTCCCACACTTCATAATGTTTTACACAGTTACAATAAAGGATCTCTAGGGAGTGCAGCTGCTTTGTAGAGCCAAGACATGAACTTGGAAAAAACCAGCTGAATTGTAATAGAGTTCTAGATGTCCTATTCTGGGGAAAAAGTCCCACAAATATATTATTTATATTTATATTTATATTTATATTTATATTTATATTTATATTTATATTTATATTTGTATATGTATACGTATATGTATGTATGTATGAAAAACTTTTAAAGAAAGATTGAGGAAAAACCAACAGAAAGGTAATGCATTTTCAAGCATCAATGCTATCCTGCTGAGAAGGCTGCTACAGAATTACCTTAGTTATTTAGATTATTGTTTAGTTCAAAGATCTGTAGGTCTTCATAGTGGAACTTATTTGGTGAAATAGATCAAATTTTACCCAGGAAAAAAGGAGAAAATATTAAATGACTGGCCAAGGCTCCTTGTGCAGACATGCAGGGACCAAACACCTGCCTGTAGTGGATGGAGCTGAGAAGAAACTGTGACAATCAGAGGCAGCTTCAGACTTCAAAAGTTTGTACCAGTCCGAGCAAAGACTTAAATTTAGGGTCTCAAACATTAATCACAGCTCTGAGAAACAACTGACTGGCTTTTTGAGTAAATTCATTTTCAGCTTTACAGGTGTTTTAGACGTAATTGTGGTTAATAAAATCTGAATTACAGCAGAACTGGAAAGGGATTTTCCTTCCAGTTCCTGGCTGACCCAGACTTTTTGGATAACCACTGCCTCAGAGGCTTGCTTCCCTCTGCTAAAATGGTGACAATAATGTTTCTTTGTCTGTTTAGCTCTTAACCTTTTTTTGCAAGGATTTCTCCATGTGATGCCCTCGTGACACCGGGCTCTGCAAATACAGACTCACCAACGGTGTGGAATCCTTATGACTAATGGCAACTCATAAATGCACTCCAGGCACATTCTGCATTGGTATTTAGGCATTAAACAATAATATTAACCATTAAGAGGCAGCCTGGAAGTGTTCAGGGCCAGGCTGGAGGAGGATCTGCGTTCTGGTGGGAGAAGCTGAAGCTCAGGAGAGTTGTCCCAACATCCCTCCATGCCCAGAGGAGAAGCTTGGGGAGGAGCCAGGGGATATCCCACACCAGCTGAAGCATTCAGAGAGAGAACTCAGCGCTCCTTACACTTCAGCTGATGAGCAGACAGACACCTGGGCTGAACTTTGAGCCCCTGTCCTGGTTTCTAGAGCTGGGAGTGGAAGCTGGGTTTGAGCTGCACTCTGTAATTGTGTTTAATGGCAGAGCACCTTGCAGACACTCCAGAAGAGGGGAATTGCATCTTATTTGCATTTGTTTCTCTGCTGTAAAAGGGATTAAGGGTGACTGGTTCAGAGGAATCCTGCCTGATAAGTCTCCTGGTGCTGCTCCCTGGAAACACTGACCACCATTGTATGCAAAAGAATTACCAGGTTGTTGGCTCTATGAGAAAAGAATTTAAATTTTAAAAAACCAACCCAAAGCACAGCACCCCGACTTACACAGTGCTAGGATGTGATGCCTTGCTCTCTAATTTCTATTCCCAAGACACCAGGAGCACACTGAGTCACAGCACACATGGGAAACTTCACTCTGGGTTGCGAAACTTCGCCGCTCTCCTGCATGGAGGGAAACTCAGCAGTGTCATTAAACTGAACCGACATTGTATGGCTGAAAGGCCATCTTATACTATGTAAACAAACAGCTTTCAGTCCCAGAACAAGAGGTCGTTGTGCAAGGTTGTGCATCATCACTGCATGCCTCAGACACCACTGACCTGGCGTGTCTGAGGAAGAAGCACAGTCCTGATAGCACTGCTTCATTTAAAAACAAAAAGTTAACCTGATTCTGGCAGAGATCTCCACTGCTGGTGGAATGTGAGATCCCAAAGTCTTTCCCAGTGCTGGGCCATGAGATTCAGGTTTGAATCACTTCCCATTCCTTCAGCTTTCTGTTGGATACCAATCCCCGGCCTTGGCTTACACCTCGGTGCTCTCATATGCTGTGAACTCCAGCCAAGTCCTACCCGTTTCTCAGAGGGACGCTTTGGCTTATCCTTTAAATGGCCTTTGGTTTATCCTTTAAATGGGCACTTTTTGTTGGAGTGAGCTGCTACTCCTCAGAATGAGCTGGGGGACAGGAGAGAGGCAAAGGCACCGATGCTCACCCTCACAGTGACAGTGACAGTGACATGCTGCAGCTTTCCTGGAGGCAGGAGGAGAAGAGCTGCAGCTTCCTCAGGCTTCCCACAGAGCCACTGGCACAGGCTGTGCAGGAAGACCTGCCAAGGAAGCGTCACCCTCCGGGTGTCCCAGCCAGCTCTCTCCACCTCAGGGCTGCAGCTCAGCTCCTGGGCACAGCCAAATCAAGGTTGCTCCAGGTGCCAGCAGATTCCAGGCAATGAACACAGCCTGTACAGAGGGCTGCCTTCACCCACCAGCTGGAGAGAAACACAGCAGCCATTGAAACTTATTTTAAAATATGTAGAATTTACCCAGAAAGCCTTTATGGCCTTTTTTGCTCAAACACTTGTGCTATTTGGGCTCAGGATAATGCACAGAGAGATACAGGTCCCTCAAGGCTTGTGCATAATTTAAAGTTGCTGGCTTGGATTTTCTTTCTAAAGCACAGAAGTCCCCTGATTCACCTTGGGGACAAGTGTCTGGGCTTTGAATACAAAAAACAAATTGCCTTTTAGTCTCCAGTAGCAGCACCTGGTATTGCTGCCAGGTGGGGAAGGGGCTCGTTGTCCCCACTGGAGAGGCTTCCAGTTGGGAATTCACAACTTCAGAGGCTGATGAGGTACTGGGGAGGAAGATAAGGGACATTTATTGGGGATGAGAGATTCCAGGACTGCAGGTGAACTGCCCAGAATGCACTCATTGCCAGGCCCCTCATGGTTCCCTTCAGAACCTTCAGGTTCCATTTCCCTCCAGAACTGCAGCTCTGCACCCTGGTCCTCACTTGTTTTCACCCTCATTCCAGAGGTTACATCCCCACTCCTTCATCCCTCACCCTTGTTCCAGTCCTGGCTCTCCATCTGCATCCTGCCTTCTGTCTCCTTCATGTCCCATCACCCTCACCCTGCTGCTGGCTGTGCTCTCCCATTTGCCCCAAGGCTGGTCACTCCACTTTGCCCTTTCCCATCCCTCTCCCCGGATCAGAACTTCCCATCTGTTTCCCACTTCCTTTGTGCATCATCTCTCAATCTTTGTCTTCACACCCAGTCACTGTACATATGTGTTTTTACACTTTCCAGCCTGTCACCACTGACTACTTTTGTTTTGCTGGGACCCACTCCGAGCTCCTTCCTCCCTGAAACTCAGTGGCAGGGCTCTGATTCCTTCTCACATGCCTCCAAATCCCTCCTCCTGGCTCCTGCTTCCCAACACAAGGTCTGCCCTGGCCACGGGCAGCCCTTGTCACATCTGACACCTCTTTTCTCTGTCCCTTCCTTACACTGCTGATGCCTTTTCCTCCATGACTCCACTGACTTCCCTCCATCCTTACCCTGTCCTGAGGGATTCCTGCCCAGGAATCTACTCTGGATCCTACATGAGAAAGCCCAGCTTTCTCCTCATCACCTCTGACTCATCACCACACTCTTCCATCTGTCTCCACTTCTCCAGAGGGAAGTTTCCCAGTTCCACATGGCAGAAGATGAACAAGGAGCCCACAGACCCCTTCTGTCACTTTTGGTCCCTCTTCCTCTGCACTGTGGGACTGAGCACAAAGGAGAGGAGATTTGTTGGTGGCTTATCTGCACGTGATCCCTCTCTTGAATTGTCTGCTGACTTCCCTTGGAAGAACAGCCATGCCTCTTCCAACATTTCTCTTTTCACATTATGAGTGCACTTGATTCTTTCTGATACTACTAATTTTTTTAAACCCTCTCCGGCTCTAGACTGGTCTCTTTTTTTTATTCTATCTCCAAGTCCATTCACCATTTTGAGTGGTTCCTTTTTTCCTTTCTCATTCTAGGTCCTCTTCTAACAATTTCCTGCCATGGGGACACACTGGAAACACACTCAGTCTCATTAAATGAGCTTTTCCAAGCTTTTTTAAACCCTCTCCGGCTCTAGACTGGTCTCTTTTTTTTATTCTATCTCCAAGTCCATTCACCATTTTGAGTGGTTCCTTTTTTCCTTTCTCATTCTAGGTCCTCTTCTAACAATTTCCTGCCATGGGGACACACTGGAAACACAGTCTCATTAAATGAGCTTTTCCAAGTCTTCACTCAGCCAATGTTTTGACTTATACCACTTCACCCTGAGCTGCAGTTGCCTGCTGATTCTGTCCCTAGATTTTAAATTTCTTTTAGCACATGAAAGGAGGACCCATCCCATGTGCAGCCTTGCCTTTAATCCTTCATGTTAATTCTTGTGGGGAACCTCATCTTCAGGGAGGATCTTCAGGGCTGGGAGAGACCTCATGGGCATGTCAGGCCCATCCCTGGGAGCAGGCCAGGCCCAGCCATCCTTGATGAACCATTTTTGGCCACCAGGTTGAAACAACCTCCAATGACAGAGACTGCAGAGCTTCTCCAGCCACCTTAAATCTGATTTTGTTATTTAGTCTGGTAGAAACATCCTTGATGAACCATTTTTGGCCACCTAGGTTGAAACAACCTCCAATGACAGAGACTGCAGAGCTTCTCCAGCCACCTTAAATCTGATTTTGTTATTTAGAATTATGGAAAATGTCTTTTGTTTTTTTGGTTTGGTTTGGTTTTTTTGTTTGTTTGTTTGTTTGTTTTGGTTTTGTTTTTTTTTTTTTTCCCCTGATGTCTGACTTATTTCTGCCATAATTTAAGCCTGGGACTTCTTGCCCTAATTACCACAGCGAAGGAGGATGGATTCATCTTTGCAGCACCCTTTGATATTACAATATTGTGTCCCATCCCTCACTTTTTTTAGACCAAACCACCCCAATTCCTACACAGCCATGTCCATCTAATCCCTGTTCTCCTTGCTCTCCATTCCAGATGTGGATCTTTCCTGGAGCACAGTTCATTCACATCCTTATTAGTGCTTAAGCACAGTTCATTCACATCCTTCTTGCAGCAAACACATGAGTTCAAATGTCCTGCAGACTCTTTTACTTCACATAGCCAGAGTTGAATAATTGTTTTTTTCCTCAAGAAATTCCAGAGAGCAGGCAGAGCTACATGGTTGTTTTCTTCTCAGCCCAGTACTTTACATAAGACCTTGCTGAACAAAATCCCACTTTTCACCTGTTTTTCCTGACACCTTTGTATCACTTGGGATTTAACCAGTAAGATCAAAGGTCCCTGTGGTTGCTTTGTCCAGCTTACACAAACGCCCTCTGTCATCTCTCTAAATTATGTGGTCTCCCACCCATCCAGACAGCTAAAAATCCCCTCTGTGGCCTTTCAATCCCTTACATCTGTGCTCAGACAACACATTTTTTCTTTAGCCTTAATAAATAAAAGCTCCTTTGCTTTCACATATCTCAAATATTGCAGTGGTTTCCCTCACCTTGGTACACCCTGTCCATGGGGAATTTTCCTCACCCTCAAAACCACGCCAAACCATCAGGATCTCATCATCCCTTCACACACCATCCCTCCTGGATGCTGGGCTTCCAGTCTGCACTGTGTTTGGCCAGCAGTGCCCTTTCCTTCTTCAGTCTGTCACTTCACATGCACCTCTGCGTTTTCTCCCAAGTTCCTCCTGTGTTCCAGGGCAGATTTGTGGAAAGAACTCTCAGGAACTTCATTACCCTCTTTAAAGTCTTCTTAAAACCTTGGTCTTTGCCAGGAGAGCTGCAATAAATAAATGCAGAAAGGAATACAACAGTGAATGTTGAGAACAACAAATTCCCTCCTGATTTTTGTCCCCTCATCTCACTCCTTCACCTGCCAGCTGCTGCCCCACACTTCTAATCATCATTTTTTTTTGGGAAGGAGCTTCTCTCTCTCCAATATCTGGCTGTACTAGACCCAGTCCAATGCTGTCCCAGTTTCTGACTGGTGCCCTAGACACAATCTAACAATAAATACCCCAAAGCCATGGCAGACCATGCTGGAAAGTTGAATTTGATGGAGAGCGGCTGCAAGTGGTTTGCAGTTGACCACAACCTGACCCTTCCTGGATTGTCAGGGTGATGATATCAGCTCATTTCCCGGCAAAAAAAGGTGTTAAAAAACCACCAAAATTAGCTTCAAAGTAAGCTTGATGGCATTTTCTGCATGGCCCTCGTGTGAAAAGGAAACTCATCTTCTAAGGTGGCCCCTTTGGTTTGGAAGTAAAATATCCATGGAGGGCAGTGGAGGGAAAGGAGCACTCTAACCATAAAGATTTCATGGAATAAAGAGAAAACCTCAGTTATCAAAGCCCTTGGACATGGTGCTGCTCAGCAGAAAGCCCATGAGGAAATCCAGCAGTAAATAAAAGATCACTCTCTCCTGGTTTCAGCCTGAAACTGCCAACGCTGCTCAGCAGCTTTAAAAGGTCAGAAAGTGTGAGCACCTCCCCATGTTTTGCAGTAGCAGCACTGGCCCTGCAGACCTGTGCCTGTAAATAAAGGACAAAAAGCAGCTCTTAAAAGGACACAGCCACTAAGAAAAAGCCCTCTGTGTGTAGCAGCAGTAGCAGCACTGGAGCTGCTCAGAAGGCAGTGCTCTGTGTTTGTGTTTACATATTGATTGTTTTGAAGCCTCTTTCAGTTCCAGGAATGGGAGACTATAAAAAATGATATATATATTTGTGGTTTGGCACCCAAAGAGAGCTTCAACTCATGCATCATCGCTGTCTGCCAACATCTGCAAATTATTACATGTTGGTTTGGTTTGGGGGATTTTTTTTTTAAGCCTCAAACTACGAAACTAACGTCACTCGGTGGTTGCACCTACTGCCGAGGAACAGGGTGGGACTTTGGAAAGGGATTTTCACCAGGGCAGGTCACTGAGTTTACTAATAAACAGGATTTTATGGTAATGCCTGCTGCACTAGGGAGAAAATTCTAGCTAAATAAAACTCAGACAGAAACTTCAGTTGGTTTTCAAGAATGACTGGCGAAGAACATGGAGGTTTACTTCTGAAACCACCTTCCAGTGAAAACGTAACTGCACCGTGGCGTGAAGACACCTCACCCTGTCAGAGGAGGGAAATGATCTGCACAGAGGGTTTTGGAACCATCTGTGTCAGCAGTGGGGAGCTGGCAGAGCCTGGAGCCCGAAACACTTGGCAGCGATCCGCGCGCAGAAGAACCCGGTGCCAGGAGAGCTCACCACGGGCTTACACAAGCCCAGCAGATCTCGTGACCAGCACACAGCAGAGCAGATGTTGTGCACAGGGAACCATCCCTAACCAGAATCTGCCTCAGGCACAGCCAGGGAAGGAAGCACCATCCTGGAAAATTAAGCCACAGCTGCCAGGCAGCAGCGAATCCTTGCTCGGAATGGATCAGGTGGCATCGAGGTGTCAAAGTCAAACCTCATCAGCCTCAGCAAATGTAGCACAGTTTTGGTGGGTTTTTTTGCTATTATCAAGCAAAGATAGGCAAACAGAAGCATTGTGACATGCACTTCTTGCAGGTCTAATTTGAAGATCACAGCAGCAAACCCCACCTCTGCCAGGAAAAACGGAGCTTTGTGAGGCTGGGTGTGTGTTTGCAGAGAGAACAGGCTTGGTCACAGCACAGATGGGTAGCCAGGGCTTATTTGGATTGGAGTAGGAAAGAAGATCTAAAACTACTGATTAACAAACTCAAGTTCGGTCTCTTTTTCTTTAACTGTTACATTTCAGGCTCCTTTTTCTTCATTGCCATTTTAGGTTTACTTCCAATGGGATCTGTCTGCAGCATAGGCAGTGTTAGCCTGGCATGAAACTAAATTAATCCCCAGGTTGATCTTGCTTCCCAGGATAAATTTATCCTAAACTTTCAGCAGGCCTACAGCATTGAAGAGTACTGCTCTGCTTGCTGCAGGCAGCAGGCCCATGGGAAACACCCAAGCCACAACAAAAGGTCTGCAAGGAGAAAAATTAGAAATGCAAGTTTGCAAAGCCCACGCTTTGTAAGCCACAGTGAAACAGCTGAATCTGCTGTAGGGGAAGATGTAAAGGCCAGAAACAAATATTTCTGCATGGCCATGACTCCACCAGCAGGAGCCATAAAAGGTTTAAACAGATTTCCCAGAGAAGCTGTGGCTGCCCTATCCCTGGAAGTGTCCAAGGCCAGGTTGGACAGGGCTCTGAGCAACCTGGGACAATGGAAGGTGTCTCTTCCCATGGCAGGAGGGTGGAATTGGATGTTCTTTAAGGCCCATTCCAACCCAAACCATTCCATGATTCATCATAAACATCAAGAAGCCACTCTCCTCATCAGGAGTATTAATTAATTAAACCTAGAGCAGGACAGTGATCCTCCCCTCACTTGCCCTGGACTGATATTTTGTCCATTCAGTTTCAGCAAGGTTTTCTCTTTCACTCACAAGGTGAATCCCAGGTCAGCACAGTCAGACACCTTCAGATCCTCCAGTTTCTGGCTGCTCTTTTTAAAGTCCAACACAATGATTTTCCATGACAAACCATGGAAACCCAAGCTTCTTTCCCCAGCTCCTGCTGAAGGTGAGGAGGTTTTCCTTAGTCCACAAGTCACTGTGTAAATGGCCAGGTTTCCAAGTGTCACCCCTGTAACAGAGCATGGCAAACACGTGCTGCCTCTCAGCTGCCACAGCTCAAAGTCCAGCTTATTATTTAATACATAATCTTGAATGGGTGAGTCATAAACCAGCCTGATTTTCTGCTATGGGAATAGTAACTTTTGGGGAAGAAGCAACCAAATTTTCAGCCTGCTGCAGCAGGGCTGGATGGAGCCCTTCACATTTTAAACCTGAAATCCCATGTGGGACAGGCTGAGGGCACTGTGTGATTCCAATCATCTCACTCCCTTCAAAGATAAATCAGAATAAAATGAAAATATCTCAGACCTGCTCTAGCAGTCATGTTTCTCAATGCACTTCTTGCTCACCTTCTGCAGCCTTGGGGTTCTTATCCCCTTTTTTTGAGTTCTCCCCGAGATTTGCAATCTCAGCTTTAAAATTCATAGAAATTTTCCCCTCCCCCCTTAAATCTCCCCATTGTTTAAATTCTCCCTCCCACACAACCTGACTGTAAACAGATGGTAAAATTCTGTGTGATGCTGTGTACAGTAAAATCACCTGTTTGCTGCACAGCCATTATCAGTGATTTTCCACAGGATTCCCATGAAATCCAGCCTGTGTTTGCTGTGTGGCAGCAGGGACTGGGACAGGGCACTGGGACACAGGGTGAGCACAAGCAGTGATGGGTGACAAGCCAGGCCAAAAGGGAATGGGGAGGACTGTGGGAGAACTCCTGCAGGGCCACGGGGTGGGTAGAGGGTGCCGTGGCTGCCCTGTGCATGGAACTGCTCCTCAGGATGCTGGAGAGGGGTCCTGGGCAAGCCCTGGCTCTGCCCACTGGCCTCTCTGCCCTGGTCAGGGGCTGCTGCTTCTGTCTTTCAATAAGAGAAAAGTATTTGGAAAGCCCAGCTGGGACAGCCAAAGAGATCTGGAAAATCCCGATTGCCCTGCTGAGACAGCTTGGAGATGGGTTAGGATGCTCCCAAAGACAAAGCAGAAAGAAGCAACTGAAGAGTTAAGTGAAACTAAACTGGAGATGAACAAAAATAGTCCTACACGTCTGATACACCATAAATCCTGTTCTTCAGTGAAACATGAGTGCTTTGCAACCCTGAACCATCTGTTAAGACCTTTCCCCAGACAGATCTGGAGGCCAGGCTTGCTCACACAGTGTCCATCAGGATAAAACCCCTCGCAATCTGGGTCACTGGGGCTCAAGCCTGGAGCCTGAGCACAAGGAAGGAGCCCAAACACACGTCCCCAAGCTCTGCAGGGTGCAGGCAGCCACTGACCCAGGTCACAGCAGCACCCACACAGTGACCTGACTCCCTGTCACCTCATGAGGGCCAAGCTGTAATTTAGACAAAGCTGGTGATTTTCTATCAGCTCCAGCAAGCTGAAGGGGTTGAACCCATGAGCTCACACGGCTTGCCATCATCTAACTCAGCTGGCAGCACCAAATGGATGAACTGCTGGTGCCCTGTGCTTCAGCCATGGCAAAGAAAGCTGGAGAAGCAGCACAGCAGCACTGTCCTGTGGGCAGGTTGGGGTCAGCCTCTTTTCCCAAAATGAAATGGCCTCCAGTTCTACCAGGGAAAGTCCAGGTTGAAAAACAGGAGTAATTTCTTCAATGAAAGGGTTGTCAAGTGTTGGAAGGAGCTGCCCAGGGAGGAGTTCAAGAAAAAACTGGACCAGTGTCCTAATTTGGTTGAAATGTGGTGATCCATGAAGGCTTGGACAAGATAATTTTGGAGTCTTTTCCAATTTTAACCATTCTACGTTAAACCATTCAATTTTAACTATTCTATTCTATTCTATTCTATTCTATTCTATTCTATTCTATTCTATTCTATTCTATTCTATTCTATTCTATTCTATTCTATTCTATTCTATTCTATTCTATTCTATTCTATTCTATTCTATTCTATTCTATTCTATTCTATTCTATTCTATTCTATTCTATTCTATTCTATTGATATTTTCTGGTCAACAAAGGTGTTGCTGGGACCAGGTAGGACAATCCTATTCCTGGGTCTGTCTCTGCCAGATGTGCTCATTCTCGTTCTCCAGTTCAGTGCATCTCCTCCAAGAAAAAAAACCGAAACCAACAAAGAAAATAAAAAGAAAAAACAAATTCCAATTTTTCCTTATATCACTTTTACACGCACACTCCATTCCATGCTTCCCATGGGGCATTTCCCACTGGATCTGCTCTGTTGTAAACTCCAACAGATGCTTGCCAAAAATAATTATATCCAAGACAAACAAACAAAATAGCCCCAACAGCATGGCTGGAGTTGGTGTGGTGCAATTGTCGTGCAATGAGGTTCACTGACCGCTCCATCGCTCCCCTGTCATTACTGGTAAATTATTCAATCTTTTATCAAGGAAAATGCTTTAAACATGCAATCATCTGTTGTTTATCTTGTGCTCTAAAAGTGTGTGTGGCTGTGCCAGATATGTCCTAAATTCTTTTGTTTTATCTGCCCAGTTGTACACAGACGCCAACGTAAATAAGTACCAGGAACACACACACACCTATGAGCAAGGTCATGGATCCAGTCCTCTTCTGATCTTTCTCTTTCATCTCCCAGGAAAGAGAAGGGCAAAAAAACCACTGTTCCACCTCCACTGTGCTCACACATCACCACCAGCTTGCCCTGCCCCAATCCCAGTGGGGATTTTTCTGGGACTGGGATGGTTTTTAGCACAGATTTACTGAGTGACCTTAGTGACCAAATGGCATCAAGGCTTCGAGGGGTGAGTTCCCAGCTGGGAAGGTCTGCAAGGGAATTGTCTGCATAACTGCACCACTAAAATGGAAAACAAG